GTATTAATTAAGGTGTAAAAGTCTAAAAAATTAAGGCCGCCTTTATCGTATGAGTTCATGATTACTGATTTTTTAATATAATGTTTGTTTGTTATTCCAAATATAGTTAAATAGCATCTTATCGATGTCTTTAGAGACCTTTTTGTTAACATCTAGAGACAAGGCTGCATGAGACGAGATATTCCCTCAGCTTTAGTTAGTAAAACTCTACCTCTCAAAGATAAGTCTCTTTGTAGAAACTGGTTAAATTATTTTTTTGGGATTTGTCAATAATAGAATAAAAACTCATGTTGCTTCTGGTATTTTGTTCTTTTGTGGCGTACATTTGCATTTGTGCAAAAACTATGTGTATCTGTACCTATTAAACTATTTGATTTTAGTTTGGTCATATCAGTCAGAAACAAAATGTTTATTGTAAAACAGCAAAAGGCTAGTCAAGGCCGGCGGTGAGGAAGGGGAGAGAAGAAACTTAGAGGTTCTGTAACTCACTGTAGCAATCAATTGAAAAGTCACCACCATCGGACCAACCGAGAAACACTTTGATTCCGACAGCTTATATAGCACTGTCGTAAAAATTACATCTGCTTTATGGTTTAAATATTTTGTAATTACGTCAGAACAAAACTGGTACAAAATTTTTTAAGTAAATTTACGAAATGTGTCAATTAAAAGCATAAAAAACGTGCTTTTTTGGTTTAAAACTATTCTTGTGCCGCACAGCATGCTGGGAAATACATGACGTCACAGAAACTCTGCGACAGTGCGCATGCGCTGTAACAATAAATCGCAGCTGTGATTAAATAGTTTTAGCTGAAGGAATATTACAAATAAAATTATCTTTTAACATAATCTTAAAACATGCGGGCTAGTCGATAAGAACAGGAAAATTAGCTTTATTTGGCATTTAAAGCAATTTTTAAACATTTTTTAAACAGCCTGTTTATCGGTTGAAGAACTGGGCATCATGTTTTATGGACACCTCGTTGAAGATCTCCACAGATGGTCTACAAGAAGAAAGGAGGTAAGTTTAAATCCTCTGTTTTATTTTGAAATGTTGTTGAGAACCACACCAACTCAGACTAAAGACAGTTATTCATTTTTAAAATCACTCAAGTAGTCTATTTTTAATATTATGAACACTTCATAAATTTAGACTTTTACATGTCTCTTGTGGAGGGCATTAACACGTTTTAAAGCGTCAAACACGGTAAATAAAAAAGTGGAGGGAAAACAATTTCTCTCATGGACAGTAGGTGGCGGTGTGCACCTCTGAGCTGTTTGCGATCCGCCATTAAGAGAAGAAGAAGAAGAAGAAGAAGAAGAAGAAGAAGAAGAAGAAACTTTAAAGGTAAATATTTATATTTTAACCTTACCACATTTTACTACATCATTTCTTACATTGCCAACGTCATACGCGTATAAAACATTTTGAATTTCACGTTTTAATCGAATAAGAACTCCTGCTAATCGCGCCATGTTTAAGAGCTAACGCTAACTGCGCTATGTTATGCTAGCTATGCTAATGGTTAGCCTGATAGTTTTTAGCACGTTTAAACGCGTGTTTATACTGAGATTATGGCTTTTGTTGTGTTATTCTGAACTAGGATGAAATATTGTGACATTTTGAAATGTTTTAAAGTTTCTGCACTATTATATAACGATAGTTAGAGTTGGTTTTATCAGAGTAAAGGTGATGTAGACTTGCAGACGTGCTGAAAGTTATTATTTTCATCATTTCTAGTTTTCCTGAAGGGTTTATTTAGTCTGTGGGGCCAGAATTCAGTCTGGGTTGTCAGGTAATTAAATTAAAATCCAGTATATTTATTTAAAAAAATGCCAAAACATGACAATTATTG